ACAACTCTCTGCAAATTAAGTTAACCTATTGCCCATGCAGGCCGTGTGTAGTACAAGCCTGTTGTTGGGAATCACTAGGACAGGTTTAACTAAACACAGTCTTCTTTTCCATTGAAGATTGACCCACTTCAGGTTTATCACTTGAAGGCTGTCAACACAAAATGATACACATAAAAATGAGATTTTACATATTGTGTTATTCCAATGAGCCAGTGTAAGTAAGTGCACTCAAAATAAGATGGCAAGTTCAAAATATGCAGTCCTGCTGTCGGCTTATACAGTATGAATATGAAAGCCGAAATGGTTCAAACTATAAAGCTATAAAGAGTATTCTTCCAGTTATGTTGAGTGCATTTAGATGTACCTTTCTTAAAAGAAAGAGCTGTTATTAAAATATTGTCTTTGCTTGGAGACCACCTTTTAGCTATTTCTTTCAATGGGTAAACAATAGTTATAACTGACATGAAATTTAAACTACATACTGTATTATAGTAAATGTAACGATCCATTTGATAATGAAATATTAAAATCAGATTCACAGCCTGCCCTTTAAATGGCAACAATGTGACTTTTGCTTGATGTATGTACTGATGCAAAAAAGCTTATCATATGACTGAATTTCACATCCATCAGAATAACACAAGATCATTATATATTATATATCATGAACTCTTTGTACACAGGGGATTATGAATAGAATGTAAATTGCAAACAAATAAACAATGACATGGAATAAAGAGGTTTCCTTGTTAGCAGAAGTTTGTGATAACACTTACTTTATCAACAAAACCCAAAGAATCTGTGCCTTTCTGTCCATGTATCATTTATAGAAAATAATAATTAAAGAACATAATTTGTAATAATGTAGTAATTTTTTTTTCAGTATTTTGTCAGTTGACTTTACTTTTTTAATGAAACTTCAGCTCAGTAAAGAAAGATTTGCCAGTGCGTTGTGAAAGTGACATAGCTGGGGAAATACATCAGCATCTTGACATTTCTGTTGCAGCAACCGTTTTACTACAGTAATGCAATTCTGTGTACAGGAATACTATGCAAAAAATTAAAATAAAGCTTCCATATAATAAATATAATGTCCTCACGGTCATTGTAATTCATTGATACAGTACCTATCGTAGTTAACCAATGTTAATTTCTGAACAAATGTTAATATGTGTTAGAATGAGTTGTTTGCTTTAAAGGTCACGTTTCTGTGCTAAGTCACTTTATATTTTGGGGGATTTAAGATTCCATCACTAAGGGCAACAAAACATAACTTACAATTAATTAAGTCTCCAACAGCTCTGCTACAATCAGTTTTTTCTAAATGGAACATTAGGGAAATGTGGTCTCCTTTGGATCTCTGTACAGAGATCATGCAGAAAAGCAAAAACTTTTCTTATTTATTTCCTCATTAAAACAAGGTTTCCCAATCTCTTGGGTATGAGAAACTACAATTTAAGCTTTTGCTTTAAAATGGTACTAGATTTAGATTGTGGTACTAATTTATGTCACAAATAGATTTCACTATTAGTGACGTAAATTTGAATTTAAACAGTACAGGATAACCTCATATAAAATATTAAGATCAGCACTGCAGGCTAACACCCTGAAAAAAACACAAAAGGTCTTTCTAACCAGCAGGAAAAAAAATATTGCAAACGAGTCACTTGACTTGCCTATCTAAGTTAGGTGAGTCCAGTTACTCAAGGATGCAGAACTGTTTTAATTGTCTCTGAATACACCAGTATTCCTCAGTTTCCCTTTGGAAACCTTTTGAATGATACATTTTGTAATTTGTGACATGGCCCTGTGATGGACTGGTGTCCCATCCAGGGTGTGCCCTGCCTTGCTTCTTTGACTTGCTGGGATAGGCTCCAGCTCCCCCATGACCCTGAATTGGATGAAGTAATGGGAGGGTTAAAAATGACATATGCACTTTTTAAAATGCATTTTTCAGCAAAACTTGAATGCCCAAATGGAACAATTTTTTTATGCCCAAAAGCCTGTGCTTTCTGACTAAAGCGGACACTGAGGAAGGCCTTTTAGTTCAGAGGAAGGACTGTGAAGGAAAAATTGTGAAGAGTAGGTATTAAATATGCTTTTAGTTCTGAATGTAGAGTTAGGCAGAAACGGTAGATAGAAACAAAATATTGTACGTGATTAAAGCCATGAGCAAAGGTAATGGAAAACAGTTTGGCTCTATCTCCTATGGTGATAAGAGCGAGGCATTATGAATGTAGTACATCAACATTATGAAATCAGCACAGACTGGAAATTAGTTAAGGGAAATCTGGGGTTTTTCCCAGGTGCCTCAGCACCTTAAGATATAATCACATTTCAGATTCTTTCTGTTCTTTCTCTGCTGTTTCTATGCTTATGAATGAGTTATGGAAATCAAATTACAGGGATTCAGATCAGTTCTTTAGTCTTCCTTTGTCTCCATTGTGTTGCATAGGATGTAACATGAATGGAGCTTTTGGACTTTAACAAATGGCAAGGAACTGATGTTAGTAGCTGGTTTTTTTACTGAAAGCAAATGTAAATTTCTGCTGATATACACCATTCAAATTAAGCACTTAGTTTTATTTAATCAAAACATTGTTATGAGATATTAATTTGGTATCCTAGGTTCATTCTAAATTAGAGATTTAATTTTTCAGTCACAATTTCACTCACCAGAAGTTTTAAATACTTGTAATTAATAATAATAATAATAATAATAATAATAATAATAATAATAATAATAATTGCTTATATTTATATAGCGCTTTTTC